ACACCACTCTCACAGTCAATAAGTTGGTCAATGAAGATTGAAACATCTCCTATGTCTGCTCGAAAATTAAAATTAGAAGAATTGAAAAAGAAGAGAAAATTACCAAAAGATTTTTAAATTTTAGAATATTTATACTTTGCGTGTTGATATTTTTTCTTTAAATGGAATTTGAATTGTGTAACTGGAAATATATAGTAAATCGTTATTTTTATTAATAAAATTTATTCAAATCAGAAATTAACTGTTACTGTTCAATTTTTTATATCTCTATCATCTGTAACAACCTTTTCCCCTTGAAATTGGGCTACAAGATCAATTTCTTTCTTCAGATCTGCCTTGGAGGTAACTTTATAATTCTTTGTTGGAAATAGATATAAACTTATAAGACATACCAATGTGAGTATGGTTTTTGGTCAACTTTGATTATTTTCTTTTATTGCTGGGTGGGTTTCAAGTTAACTTTTGGTTACACTTGTTGGTTGATTTATTTTATGAATTTATTTACACTTGTCTTGGTTACTGCCTCTTTCATGTACCTAGATGCAACAATCCCTGAAATTATTGGTCACAAAACTAATTGAATTTGGTAATTAATTTTTATTACCATATTGGTAATCTATAGGAATCTTATTAACAATCAGTATTTATTGTTGAATTAAAGATATTATTATTGTAATCATATATTTTATTAGGTTATTTTGAATATAATTATCTTATTATTATCTTTATATTTACTTATATCTAAGGAGGTTATCTTTACTATGATCATACTATGATCATACTTTCTGGGAAGTCTATAAGCTCCCATACAACATAGAGATTGTAATATTAATTTAATTTATTTATTACCAATATGATCTATATTTGTATTTTAAGTATTGTAATTTTATTATTTAAAGAACTAAAATTTAAATGAAATAAAAATAACTTTTGTAATTTTACAACAATTAAATTACTTGTTCATTAAAAATGTTAAATAATTATTTGAATATTACTTGTTCATTAAAAATGTTAAATAATTATTTGAATGTTTACACTAGAAAACCTTGGCGAATTTGTAAGCACACTTTACAGTACAAATAGCAATTAATTACAATAAATAAAGACAGCCCTTCTATTAAGCAACAAAGGCTTATAGAGTTCCTATTTTATTTACTTTACTTGTTTACTTTTCTCTGGCTAATTGGAAGTCAGCCATAGATTTGCAACAAATAACAACACATGATATCAACTTTGGCTAATACTGTTAGCCTCATATAGATGGCTAATTAGTTATAACTGTCAATACTTCATACTTTTTGCTAGTGCAAGAGTGCAATCCGAGTTTTCTTATTAATACTTAGTTATTATGCTTGTAACCCACTAGACCTTGTTCTAGTGACTCCAATTAAGTTGTTGTACCAGACTCCAAGTCCCAAGTTAATTAGAGGTTTCTAATATACATCCAAGGTAACCTATATATCTGACTCTATGTCCAAGATAACCCGAGGCTTTTGTGGCTTTCCACACTATACTGACTCTATGTCAAGGTATAATGACCTTTATGTCTGACTCTACATCAAAGAGATAACAGGCTTTACCAATATTTAATTAGGTTCCTAGCTAGCAATTAATTCATCTGTCCAATATTCCCCAAAGGCATCCCCTTGGTAATATATATATTAATTAATTAACCACAAAAAAAAAGATTTAACATTTGCCGTGTCACGATCTCCTTCCAAAACTCGCAAATCGTGCGACTTCCGTGCAGGTTTCTCGCCGATTGTCTCCTTTTGCGTTTAGCCGCACTTGATTTTTCGGCTTTTGGCGCGATCAACGTTTTCACCATATTTAGCAAAAATTGTGTCGTACGGCAAATGTTTCGTTTCATATATAGGTTGCAATTGCAATTGAGTTGCATTGAATTGAGTTGCATTGAATTGAGTTGCAAGCAATGCGTTGCAATTGCAATGAAACCGAAAAATCTCTGTTTTTTAAACTTTTTAAACTTAATTTTTTGGGAAAGAATTTTTGCTTTCGCTGGGTGGTGATTTCAAAAAAAATTTTTTTTTTTATTTTTCTGAAAAAAAAATTTGATCTACATAAATTTTATTGCAAAAAAAAATACAAGTAGAACTGAAAAAAAAATTTGATATACGTAATTTTTTATTGCAAAAAAAAAAATACAAATGGAAATGAAAAAAAAAGAATAATGAGAATTATTCAGTGTCACAACTCTCGTCACCGTTGTCATTTACCACTGTTTCGTTTTCATTATCATCGTCATCATTTTCACAACCTTTATTCTTACTGACAACTTCATTCATTGTGTGTGTCAGTTTTGTTGCCCTTGCTGTGCTTGATTCTTCTTGTGGATCAAGGTCTATGCTTCTTCTTTTTTTGCCTGACTTCCTGATGTGATTTGTGGTCTTTCTCTGCTGTTGGAACTCATGAATTGTTCCTCAAAATCCAGGTGTTTGGATTTTAATGCTTTGCGTGAGGATTTCTTTTCATTGTTGTTGTTGGTCTTTTCAACACTCGGATAAGTCCACTCAATTTTGCTTGCAAAGACTTGCACAAGCTTTCTGCCCAGAAAAACCTCGCCTGCTACAGTAAAAATTTGTTTCCCGTTTTTTGTAGCATTGGGAACACCACCATGACGACCATTATCAGGATCATAAAAACATGGAATGTCCATTGATGTGTATCCACCTTTAAATGGGTCGTATGTTCTTCAAGACATAGTGAAGTAATGTTTGTCGTTTTGATTTTTTGAAGGTGTTACACACAGAGCAGTTATGACACCATATAAAGGACTAATTGGCAGATCGTATATAGTTGGTTTGTCTTCTATGGTTTTCAGGTCAAGTAGGGTTGATTTATTCACTGTGACCTGGAGTGTGTGACAAGAAATATGTTATTTTAATTATTGTTATTTAAAAAAGCAAGACAAAAAAATAGATAAAATACTCACAAATAATTGCGATTCGTCGAATATGTATTTTCCTGCAAACAACATGATGGTGTTTTCTTGAATTTCATCAATTAAATTTGCTTTGTCTACATTGAATGCCTTGTATTGGATGTCTACATATTCATCATCATCCAATATGGCTGTAGCTGTGCCGCTTAAGGTTCTGGAGCCATTGATGGACTTGACAAACACAATTGCGGTCAATACAATAGACATTGTTCTTTTGTTTGATGTATAATGAAACAAAATCAAGGAAATCGTGGAAATTGCGGAAGTCGTGGGAGTCATGGAAGTCATGGAGGTCATGGAATTCATGGAAGTCGCGAAAGTCATGAAGTTATAGCAGTTGGTAGAGGTCGTGATAAAAGTCATGAAAATAATGAAGATACCGATTCTGTTCAAGGTGACCACACTTCATTTTTCTCAGAAATAATTTTACAAGATCAATGTGGAAAAGAATGTAAAAAAAATCAAGCTAACACTAGAAATAAAAAAGATTTTGACAAATTTCCTGGTCTTGAACTAGAACCAATTCAAGGCACCAATTTAATTTTTAAGTTCCTGATGTAATGTGACTTTTACAATGTTTAGCCCAATAAAATATGCTTATAAATTATGAGTCACTCTGACTACTGATAAACAAATGAATCAGATGAATAAATAAATTAAATGTTATAAATATATAAATCAGATATGTAACACGATATCATATGATCTAAACATATGGGGCAATTGGGCGCAGTGTTACACAAAAATATCATTAAAAATATATATAAATTATAAAACTAGATTTAGTGATCATCACGTGATTTGCCGCAATAAGTTGGTTTCGATTGATCAATAAGGTTGGGACTTCTTCAGTCCACGATTTACTATCTCACACTAATCTAAGGTTTCTGGCCAAAACTGCTTCTATTAGTAGCCGAAATTGCCCAAATACTTTGGGCAAAAGTTGTTTTTTTATAAGCCCAAACTACTTTTTGTTATTAGCCGAAATTGAGTGAAATTATTTTAAAGTTGTTTAAGTTAAAACAAGTTGATTCATATAGTTTTTTAATGTTCATGCTTATAAAAAAATGTTGAGAAGCCCAAATTGCCCAAACTAGTTGGGCTTTGAGAAAACAGTTCGGACCAGAAACCTTACACTAGCCAGCATCAACATCTTATGTTTACACTCAACAAAAGAAAAGTTTTGATGGTAAATCTATTGGGTTATGAATGACAGATATAACTATAATTTTATGTTTTATAATTGCTATAATTTATGTTGCTAAAGGACTAAAAAAAAAATAAATCAATATTGTAATAATATGATTATTTCTCCTCTAAGTATTTTTGCTTTTTATTGAGTAATAACTCTATTTTCTTTTCTTAATGTTTGCTTATAAAAAAATGTTGAGAAGCCCAAATTGCCCAAACTAGTTGGGCTTTGAGAAAACAGTTCGGACCAGAAACCTTACACTAGCCAGCATCAACATCTTATGTTTACACTCAACAAAAGAAAAGTTTTGATGGTAAATCTATTGGGTTATGAATGACAGATATAACTATAATTTTATGTTTTATAATTGCTATAATTTATGTTGCTAAAGGACTAAAAAAAAAATAAATCAATATTGTAATAATATGATTATTTCTCCTCTAAGTATTTTTGCTTTTTATTGAGTAATAACTCTATTTTCTTTTCTTAATGTTTATTATTTTTTCTTGGTAAATTTCATAGGTAATCTTTTCTTTATCTAAATATATTTGTGAAGATTTAGTAAGTATCTTCTAATTTAAAAATATAAGGTGCAATTTTTTCACCTTGTTCTTTCTTCAGAATACTTCTAATGGTACTATAATTCTTGGGTTCCATTGTAGATCTGATGTAAATTAACTTCATATTAACTATTTTTATATAGAGGTAATTCTATATATCACCTAATATTAAGAGGATAACAAATGGAAGATTTTAATAATCACATCACTAAATTTTGATCCCTGAAATTTTTGGTAATACCAATGTTCACTTTGTCTGGTTTTGTTCCAGCATGCCCAAATAATCTTACTTCTTTTCTTGGTAATCAAATTTGCATAAACTAGCAATTAATTCATTTTCAAGCAGCTCTGCAATTGCAGCAAATATTGTACGATATTCCAAAAAATAATCAATTCCATTTAATGAAGTTATAAGTTTTTTCTCAAATTTAATATTTTTTGTTTCAATTTGATCAATTATTTGGTGTGTTTGTTTTGCAGAATTTGGTAATGGACTTTTTGACCATAAAGAGAATTTATTAAAAAATCGACGAATATCATCAGCAGCATTTTGACTTAAATTATGCTTTATTATTAATTTTGCATATTCTTCAGCAATATTATTAGAAAAAAGATTTGTAATCATTTGTGGTGGACTGATTGTCTCATGTGTTTCCTCTACAGATGAAACAACTTGTGTTAAACTATCACTAAAATCATATGATTCACAGTCTTCTATTAACTGGTAATTTTAATATATAAGCATATTTTTTTAGAATAAAAAAAATAAATAAGTAAAAAAATATATATTTTACTTCTTCATTATTATATTCTTCACCATCATGCTCTTTGCTATAATATTCTTCATTATCATATTCCGAATTTATGTAATCAAAAGAATTGGTGATATTTGCATTAACATAATTAGAATTTCCTAATATTTGCTTTGTTTCATTAAATGGTTGAGATTCTAATAATTTAAGTGAGTGTTTCTTTGATTTTATATGATTACTATAAGCAGAACCAGTACTTAATTGTTTTTTACAAGTAGAACAGTAATTTCGATCATTTTGTATTGTTGACATAATGAACTGTCCTTAGGAATTGTAATGTGATATTATGAATATTTGTTAATTGGAACACTTGATTAAAACAATTGGTAATTTGACTCAAAAGTCAATATCTTTCTTTACCCTTCTGGAATTAATTAATTATAGAGTCGACTTGAATTTAATGTTCATGTTGCGCATAAATTTAGACTATTAATTTAAACTTTAATAACAGATAATAAACGATTTCTATTTATTCATTCTTAAAATTAATTTCTCTTTTTTTTAATAATTACAACAATTACAACTTAAATGGAAAAACAACAAGTACACCGTAGCAATAGAGTTATAAAAAAAAATTACAAGAAAATGACATTCCAACTAATTCTACAACTGATAATAATAATAAAAAAAACAATACTTTTTCCGATATATCCGTTAATACAAAATCGAAAAATAAAAGAAAAAAACCTTTAGAAACAAATAACTCTCAAATAACGAAATACATTTTAATAATAACAACTTATTTTTTTCAAATGAGTCATCTCAAAAAAAATTGGGTTTACCAAACATATTTCCTGAATCACATCACCACCAATTCAATTAAATAACATTAATGAAAATCAAACTATTAGGGAAACCTCAATACAGGATGCTATCCAAAGAAGAGAATGAAAATTTTACTATTTCAGACTTAGAAAACAAGAAAAACAACTATTTTCAATTCCTTGAAAGTCAAAAGCTGGCTAACGAAAATAATTTTTATTCTAATTCAGATCAAGAATCTGAAAACTTATCGGAAAATCAACATGAATCTTCTTATGAAGCTTTATTAAGTCAGGAAACTTTTTCACAAGATGAAGGTAATGTGTTAATAATATAATATAGCAAATTTTGATAATAAATTGCATTTATTATTATTATTATTATTATTATTATTATTAATTATTATAAAGCAATTACATTTCGTAGAAACAACTCCAATTTTAGTAAAAATATTAGAAACATGTCAAGAAACACAAAGATATAAAGAATTTAAAACAAAAAATTGACTTTTTAGAAAATCTTGTAAAAAAACAAAGAGAAGAAATTCAAAAACTTGATGCTGGAAAATCATTTAAAGGTTCTGGAAATCATAAAAATGATATTGACTGGATTGAGGTAAGTATTATTAATATTTGATTTGTTGGTTACTAATTATATTGTTAAATAATTTTATTTAAATAGCCATATTGGAAATACATGATTGCTGATTTTGTTTCCAGAAAATAAATACCCATCAGAAGAAGCATTTTGTGAAACTGCACGTCAAGTATTGACTCAAAGACAACCAGAACACATGCAACTAATGATAAAATCTGGTCAATGGGATGCATTTTTTCGTTCTGCTATTAGTTCAACAGTATGCAATTAAGTATTTTGGTTTAATAAGTTTAATATTATAATAACAACAACTTATTAATATAATATATTCTTTAGCTAAAAGAAAAAATGTCAAAATATAGGGGTGATCAAGTTAAGAAAATCAAAACTGTTCTATTTGATTGTTTTCCAAACAAGATTCCCAAACTCAATTCAAAGACTGATCCTAATATCATAAGTGAATTCAAGAAGTCGGATAATGCAAAATGGTGTCTACATCATCTGAATTCTAGGATATCTGCTGCAAGTCCAACAAAATACATTGATTGTATTACAGCATCATTTACAAAAGATCGAGTGGCAACAGATAATGATCAGCTATTTTCAATTGCTGTGTGCCATTTTATGCTTGAAGAAACAATTGTGGGTGTAACTTTGGATCCTGAAAAAATGGATTCTTTAATGAAAAAAATGAAGGTATAAAATTTATTAAATAATATCAATTTGTTTTTAGTTATTGAACTTACTCTTGAATTTTTGATTTTTATAAAAAATGCTTAGGGTGATTAGAATATATTATTAAAATTGTTGTAATGCATAATTATTTTAGTAAACTCCAATGTATAACTAGATTTATGTTTTTATGTGGATTCTGTCTATTGCTACTACAATAAAGTTATATTATATTACATGTTAAAATCAATGTAGTATTTAGTATGATTTCTCTGCAGTATTTAGTATGATTTCTCCATAGTATTTAGTATGATTTCTCTGTAGTATTTTACATGATTCTCAATAAAAAAACTGTTCAATCCACGTGGAATGACTTAGAATCCTGTGGATCCACTCCACATCTTTCGGCACAGGGTATTTGGAAAATATTGGTACTACTTAGATTTCCATGATGGTTCTATGTGGATTTCTCAGTGGATTTTACACGGAAAAAAATTCCTGATGGTATTAGCATACTGATAAGTTAATAATATTCTTAGTATTTTTATCATATAGCCTAAAAGCTATTAGTAAATGTTGAAAATGCCAATATTTATCAGATATTCTTCTAAAATTAATCCTATTTTTTAGTTAACTAGACCCAAGTGTATCAATTACACATAATAAGTACATAAAAAAAAATATTTAGCTTGTAGTCTATCCTATAGAATATGCAAAATTTGATTTTTCTATTATTGATTGAAACCTCGATAGAAACTTTGCATGCATAATTTATAGGACCTAGTACTAGGCCACAAACCACATAGTCAACCCCATTATTCCGTTCAAAATTAATATTTAGTAAATTTGGTTTAACAGGGTGGATTTACTGTTTCTGGAACCAACTTTGATTTAACAGGGTGACTACATAGTTGTGTACTTTATTATGTTTAATTCTAAAATAAAAAAAATCTGTTTTACTGCTTTAGAAATAAACAATAAAATAAAATAAAATAATTTGTTTATCTGTTTAGTTGATCAATAAATCTCAGGTCTCAAGACAATTTATCTTATCCATTTTTAGTAATAATTTAAATATACATAATTATTTTTCATGGAACCAGTTGAGGATTTTTATTTTCTCTTTTATTATTATATCAATTATTGAATATATATTTCTGATATTTATTTGCAGATCCACTCAAATTTAATTCTTTTCTGCCCACTTTGCTTGTCATCACAAGACCAATTTCAATTTTAAAATAAATGAAAACCTACAAAGTGAACAAAAAATTATAAAATTATATATAGGAACAAGTGTATATGAAAAGTAATGTAAATAATAATCATAATGGTTCTAATGAATATCAAAAAGCAATTGATTTTTTAGAAAAAGGATGTAATTGTGGTTGTTCTTCAAGAATTCCCAAAGAATAATTTGCAGCATTAAGGGAATCCTTTCAAGCTCTTTCTAAAGTAGAACAAGACATATTTTTAATGGCCCAACTTAAGGCAATGGATGGGGGATTAATAAGCATCAGCAGATGCCTTAAAAAGAAAACTAGATCTAATAAAAGAATTTTCTATCACTGAGATCACAATACACTACTTTGTCAAGAAACTTATCTCAATATGTTAGGAATTGATAGGACTTATTTTGAAAATATTAGAAATCATCTGATAAATAATGATCTTCTGCCAAGAATTCATGGTAATACTAAAAGAATGCCTCAATGGAAAACTAAGATGGTGATTGATAAAAATGTTGCAAAGTGGTAAAAAATTTTCTGGAAAATTATGCAGAAGTCCATGGATTACCAAGTCCAGGAAGGAGTGTTAATAGGATAACTCATTCAATTGTCTTTTTGCCAGCTGAAATGAGTTATAAATCAGTCCACAAAGATTTTCTGGCTGGTCTAGAAGAAGATAGTAATTTGAAATCATTGAAATATGATGCATTCAGAAAATTATGACATCAATTGGCACCAGAGATTCAAATTATGAGTCCCAGGACTGACTTGTGTGATACTTGTCAGCATTTTAGAGATGGTTTACATTATAATGCTTGTCAGGAGGAAGAAGCCAAAGATTTGCTCAAAAGATTTAAAGAACATCTGTCTAAAGCCAATGTAGAAAGAAATTATTACAATAAAAACAGCAAATTAGCAGAGGAACAAAGAAAACTAGTTGATCAATGTTATTCCAAAGGTAAAACATCATATTGCAGTATTGATGCTACTGCTCATTATAGTTATGATTGAGCCCAAAATGTTCATGTGCCACATTTGGATCAACAAGTAAGTAAAATTTATTACCTTAGTCCATGTAAAGTTCATTTATTTGGTATTCAAGATGAAGCAGCAAGGGAACAAATTAATTATGTTCTTAATGAAGATGAAATTATAGGAAAAGGACCCAATGGCACTCTTAGTATGATTTTTGATGGAATTAAGAAAATGAATAGAGGTGAAAAGCATTTAAAGATTACTTGTGATAATGCAGGTGGACAGAATAAAAACAATGTAACAGTTTGGTTTTATTTATATTTGGTAATTTGTGGTTATTATGAAAACATTGAATTAAATTTCATGGTTCCAGGACATACCAAATTCAAATGTGATGGCAATTTTGGGATGATTAAAAAACTCTATAGAAGAACAAGAGTAGACTGTCTGGATCATGTGGTTGAGGTGGTAAAAAAGTCTAGTCCAGCAGGATTAAATAAAGCTCAATGTTATGAAGGTGGAAAAGGTTTTCAATACTTAGATATTAAAGCAATTTTGGGAATTTATTTTAAGAAGCTAAATGGCTTGCAAAGATATCAACATTTTCTTTTTGAAGCATCTAATCTTGGTGTGGTCAAAACTCAGGAAGTTGCTAATTGTCCTTTTACTGAATTCAATTTATTAAAAATTAAGAGAGCAGATATTTTTGAAGAAATTAAAGCTCTATCTATTTTAGTGTTAATGCCACCTCCTTTGGATTACAAAAGGCAAGAATACCTTTATCATAATATTCGCCCATTTGTGAAAGATGAATACAAAGATATTATTTGTCCAAGGCCATTCTATTCTAGCAACAGATAAAATATTCAGAATAAAACCACTTCCATGACTTTGTCCTTCATTAATTTGTCTTTTGTTGTCATTAAGTTTTAATAAGTTTAATCTTTTGACAAATATTGTTAGCTTTTTCCACTTTTTAAAAAAAAAATACTAAAATAATTTATATACTTAATATGTCCTCATAAATGTCCTCATAAAAAGGATATAAGTATATTAAAAGAATAAATAAAAAATAAAAAAAAAGGTAATAAAAAGAAAGTCATGACAAACATTATAAGTGAACTTCAAGAAAGTAATAAAAAACTGATAGAAGAAAATGAAAATTTAAAGAAGCCATTAGCAGATAAAGAAGAAAATCTTAAACTAAAAATCTGACATGTTACTGGTCAGTCTCTTGATGTCAAGGGTGAAGTTAGTCTTTATGCTCCTAGGGGAACATGATGATACAAGAAGTTAAATAAGAAATGAATGGATGAAGGTAAGTTGAGAATGGCTGTGGATCCTAATGAAACCAGAGAATCAGCTAAAAACTGTAAAAGAATTTGATTTGATAACATTACCATCAAAGAGATGTTAGAAGGGCTTATTGATTATTCAAATGACTTAGTTTCAGAATATGCACGAAGTTGGTCAAAAATCAGTGATTTAAATTCCCAAAAGTTTGAACAAAAGCAGGAATATGAAGAAAAGTTAAAAGAAAATGAGGAACAGATTAAAGAATTAGAAAAAGCATTAGAATTAGAGGAGGAAACATCTGAATGCCATTTAGATGCTCTTGAATTGGCTAGACAGTGGAGAATAAGGCAAAACAGAAAAAGATGACAACTTAGAAAAAGCTTCTAGGCGAATAGAGTTGTTGGAAAAAATTGTGGCATGACAGAAATATTTGGCAGACAAGCAGCTTCAAGAACTACCAGTTTTACCAAAGAAAGAAAACAATATAAACTCCTAACTAACAAATTAAAGAACAAAGTTAGCCAAGTAAAAGAAAAAATTTGAAACCTATATCTTGCAAAAGAATAAATACAGTCAATCCTCCATAAGTGCACCCTATGCCTCATTCCCAATCTCGGGGCTTAAGAGATAAATGCATCTCTCCATAAATGCACTGCACGGTCTTTTTCCAATTCCATCATATAAAACCACCCTCTCTAAATGCACGCCCGTGACTTTCACGTGATCAACGTGCAACAAGAAACAAAATTATCGTGTTACATTAATTAATTATTTTTCATTTACACACCTTTAGTAATTAATTTATTTATAAAGAATTAAAATTAATGTTTACTAATTATTTCTTTTTAATCACAAAGAGTTATTATGCAGATAGTGAAACTTATAAGCAAAATCATTAAGAATCACACAGAGGATAAAAAGTTAGTTATATGCTTTTTTTTTAATAAAGAGTCAATTAAATTATTGTTAATCATAAAGAGTAAAATGAATGTGTATTAATTCTTTCTTTCTTATTTGACAAAGGGTTATCAGATAGTGAAACTTATAAGCAAAATTGTTAAGAATTAAACAGCAGACAAAAATTTTTTTTTAATAAAAAATTAAATGAATGTGTATTAATTCTTTCTTTTTTAATTGACAAAGAATAATAACTTTTATAGGCGAAATTATTGTATATAAGAAGGCAAGACAAGAATGAAAAGTTTTAAAAACAAATCCATTTACACTTATCATTAGCTTTAATAAATAAAAATCTTCTACCATTATTTATTATTTATTATTTAATTTGCAAATAACTATATTATCCAGACCCATTTTAATACTGCTTACTTCTACCCACTAAAAATTTTTCTCTTTTTTCACACTTTTAAAATGCCACCAAAAGTAAAATAACTTTATCAGAATCCAAAAGTATGAAATTTGCTTATATACTCAAAACAATACAAAGACCAGAAAAGAATATGTCAATTGGATTGAACAAAAATGGAATGTTAGGGTGAATGAACCAACTATAACAAGAATTCTGCAAAAAAGTGAAAAAATACTTAACACAGAAATAACCAATCCAAATGCTAAAAGACATAAATCTGTAGTAGTTCCTGAACTTGAACTTGTCCTTAAGGAGTTTATTTTAATCTATCAAGACAAAGCTATTTTAAGTGAAGCTATGTTAATTGAGAAAGCCAAGCAATTGGCAGATGGCTTGGAAGTTCCAGATGGAACATTGGAATTTACAGCTGGATGGCTTCAAAAATTTAAAAAACGTAATGGAATCCGTCAACAAAAGCTTCATGGAGAAGTATCATCAGCTAATCTGGAAGCCATAAATGATGCCTTACCATTATTAAAAAGCATATGTGAAAATTATCCACTTGAAAGAATATACAATATGGATGAAACAGGTCTTTTTTACAGATTAGAGCCAGATAGAACATTAGCCACACACAGACTTTTTGGTCACAAAAAGAATAAAGAAAGACTTAGTTTTGCTTTGTGTGCAAATACTGATGGATCTCATAAATTAGATCCCTTAATAATTGGAAAATCTGCAAAACCATGATGCTTTACTAATGTCAACCTTGATAACTTAGCAATGACATATTGTAATAATACAAAGGCTTGGATGTTGATAACTGTTTTTCAAGATTGGCTCCAAGGATTCAATAGAGAGGTTGCTCAAAAATATGGAGATCAATGGGTATTATTGCTTCTTGACAATTCCCATGTCATAAGACAAATGGTTTGGTACTTTCAAATGTTGATGTTCATTTTCTCCCCCCAAATACCACTTCAAAGATCCAACCGATGGAAGCTGGGATTATTATGTCATTCAAAAAACATTATTGTAACTTGCACATTAAATGGATCCTAGATCAAGTTCAAGGAGGAAAAGATATAAAAGATTTAAAAATGGATGTATTGCAGGCAATATGTTATATTATTAAGAGTTGGGAAGAAATAACACCTGAAACCATTCATAACTGTTGGAAACATACTAAAATTCTTCCAGATACCATTAATGCCGAATTAACTAACCTTAACAACATTAGATGAGCTTACTCAGGTGCTTACAACTCTTAACTTATCTGATATAATGCCAATTGAAGAGTTTTTAAATAATCCAGAAGAAGAAAAAATATATGAAGTTCTTGATGATGATAAACTTATTGAAGGATTTGTTGAAGTATATAAAAAACAACCAGAAGTGCCTATTGACAATAATGAAGATGATGATAGCATTGAACCAGTAATAATAAGTGCTAATGAAGCTTCCAAAAGTTTGGAAATTGTCTACTCCTTTTTACTACAACAAGAAATACTAAAGAACAATTAAAACAAGTTAATGCTCTTGATCAGTATATTAATTTAAAAAAAATAAATTCAATGAAACAAACTACAATGGATCAATTTTTATAATTTTTTATAATATATATACACATATATAATAATAATAAATAAAATATTTTTTAACAATATCCTGCATGTCATGTGCAGCCAATAAGATTCTTACCCTCCCTAAATGCATCCCTCCATAAATGCATGATCTCGTCCATTCCCAAGGGGGTGCACTTATGGAGGGTTGACTGTAGCATGAAATTAGAATATCAAGTTAATGAGCTGAGGAGAGGAGATAAATGGCATTGTAATTTCTGTCCTTTTGAAAGAGAAAGGAGTTTAACTGCTACTTACAAAATAGTATCTTACAATACAAGCAATAATGATTACAATGACATTGCTTATATTTGTGTTGAGTGTAAAAAAGCTCTTGATGATAATACTTTGCCACATTGTAATGATTGCAGTAGAATTATGAGAAACAGGATAGATTGTTTTTGTGATTTAAGGAAAGGTGAACCAGTCAAAACCCCAACCATAACAGAAATAATGGCACAGAGTTATGTTGGCAGATTGGAACAGCAGAATAAAAACTTAAAACAGCAAATATCCAGTGCTAAGGAAGAAATCAGTACTCATTTGGAAGCCTTAGAAGTTTCAAAAGATTGACATAATAAGCAAAGGCAAGAATTATTAGATAAAGTTAAAAGACTTGAAAGCAAGGTTGAATGATTAATAAACAACAGAACCAACAAGTTGCTCAAATTGAAGTTAAAGAAACAAAGAGATGATCTTGATTGAAAATAAGAAAGTAGTTTAAAGAAATTCTTTATAACATCCGGAAAATATAAAAAAATTTTACACATGTCAATTGTAAGTTTAATAATAAAAAAGTGTAAAACTTATGTCAGCACTGTAAGATTTACACAATATTACGTCGGCATCGTAAGATTTATGCAAGTTTACGCTAAATTAATTTCCTGATGAAATTGAAATTCATTTCAACTATCAAAGAAAATGGTAGTTATTTTCCTTTTAAAGATTTTGCTTTTTATTAAGTAATACCCTACAAATTAGTACAAGATTTTCAATAGTGATATTTTGCAAAAATCACTTTTGTTCCTGTGACAGTTTAATAACATATGTCATATATTGAACATTGATCTGCAAAGTATACATCTTTAAAAAATACATTACCATCCAAAAAGTATCCAGACAAGGTTTTTAATAATTACACAAAATGCCACATAACAAAAGTACATAAAATTTATATCATATATGGCTTAGGTTTTGGCAACTCTACATATAAGATCTCATTTTGCTATGATTTTTAGTTAAAAAAAAAACAAACACCAAATAAATTGCGAGGATTATTTTTAAAATTTATGTTTCTCAATAAAAATTTAATTAAAATTTAATAGTTTGTATTTAGGTTCTCATAAATAAATGACTAAAATTTTAAGTTCTTGACCTTGTGAAAGTTTTGTTATTTTTAAAAATAAATTGATACCAAAAAAATTGATTAGATCAAAAAAAATTCTCGTGATTTTTTTAATTTTAAAAATAAAAAATTCCGAATTAACTGAAGCTGAACAAGGAAAAATTTTAGATCTAAGAATAGGTGGTGGTTCTCTTGCAAAAATTGCAAAGACACTTAATATTCCAAAGTCTACAGTTCATGACACTATCAAACATTATGAGAATGTAAAAAATTTAAAATAGGTTGTTGGGTCAAATATTGGACTGGTATTTCTGCTTCATGGAGATGGTAATAGTGATGCACATCAAGTGAATCCCAAATAATGCATAATTTATAGGACCTAGTACTAGGCCACAAACCACATAGTCAACCCCATTATTCCGTTCAAAATTAATATTTAGTAAATTTGGTTTAACAGGGTGGATTTACTGTTTCTGGAACCAACTTTGATTTAACAGGGTGACTACATAGTTGTGTACTTTATTATGTTTAATTCTAAAATAAAAAAAATCTGTTTTACTGCTTTAGAAATAAACAATAAAATAAAATAAAATAATTTGTTTATCTGTTTAGTTGATCAATAAATCTCAGGTCTCAAGACAATTTATCTTATCCATTTTTAGTAATAATTTAAATATACATAATTATTTTTCATGGAACCAGTTGAGGATTTTTATTTTCTCTTTTATTATTATATCAATTATTGAATATATATTTCTGATATTTATTTGCAGATCCACTCAAATTTAATTCTTTTCTGCCCACTTTGCTTGTCATCACAAGACCAATTTCAATTTTAAAATAAATGAAAACCTACAAAGTGAACATAAAATTATATATATAGGGATAAGTGTATATGAAAAGTAATAATAAAAGTAACAATTATAATGGTTCTAATGAATATCAAAAAGCAATTGATTTTTTGAAAAAGGGTTGTGATTGTGGTTGTTCTTCAAGAATTCCCAAGGAACAATTTGCAGAATTAAGGGAATCCTTTCAAGCTCTCTAAAACAGAGCAAGACATATTTTTAATGGCCCAACTTAAAGCAATGGATGGTGGATTGGTAAGTAGTAGTAGACGCCTTAAAAAGAAAACCAGGTCTAATAAAAGAACTTTCTACCATTGGGATCATAATACACTTCTTTGTCAAGAACTTACCTCAATATGTTAGGAATTGGTAGAACTTATTTTGAAAATATTAGAAATCATCTAATAAATAATGGTCTTCTACCAAGAATTCATGGTAATATTAAAAGAAT